TTATTCCAACCTTGGGCGCGCACGGGCGCGCACTCTTTTTGCTATTCCAAGCGTGGGCGCGCATTAAAGTACAATATCTGATCCAGGCGCGCGCGGGCGCACACTTAAAAATAATATCTGGTCTGGGCGCGCGTGGGCGCGCACTTATAAATAATATTCTGATCTGTGTGCACGCACTTAAATAAATAATATTCTGATCTGTGCGCACGCACTTAAATAAATAATATTCTGATTTGCTCGCACGCACTTAAATAAATAATATTATGATCTGCCCGCGCACACTTAAATAAATAATATTCTGATATGTGCGCACACACTTAAATAAATAATATTCTGATCTGCGCGCACGCACTTAAATGAATAATATTATGATCTGCGCGCGTGCACTTAAACTGCAGTATCTGGTCCAGGCGGTTGATAAAGTCAACCAGCAGGCTATTGGGCACCCAAAGTTCGCTGGTAAAAGTAAAGTTATCAGATTTGGCTGCTTATTGACATGCAGGTTCAGTTCGAACAAGGCAAAGTCTAAACTCTTAATTACATGAGAGCGTGGTCGCCATAATATCATTCACAGTGCTCGCCTGAGCATGCAGTTCCGAAATCGACAAGTGCGCCTGAGTGCACAGTCTCAAAACTTGATAATGTCATTTACATCGTGCGCAATTTCAAACCCGGAGATGTTAACCGTAGTGCGAACCTGGGTGCACAGTCCCGAACTCAAAAATGTCAATCTGCAGTGCGCACAGTCCCGAACTGTGGTGCGCGCCTGGGCGCATAGTTCCGAACTTATCAGCGCTGGGCGTCAGAGTGCACAGTCCTGAACTCTTCAGCGGTGTGCGCCAGAGCGCACAGTTCCGGTCTCAGAAATGTCATCATCGGTGAGCGTCAAAGCGTACGGTTCCGAACTCAGAAATGTCATCAGAGATGCGAGCCAAAGCGCACAGCTCCAGACTCATCAGCGGTGCGCGCCAGAGAGCACAGTTCCGTACTTAGAAATGTCATCATCGGTGAGCGTCACAGCGCATGGTTC